AAAATGTGCAGATAAAAAGATTTCCCGGTCAGGAGTGTGCCAAGCAGCTTAACACACAAACACAGTGTGAACATCTTGTGATCGGGCTGAGCGGCAGGGAGACGGCTTATTAGGCGATGCCAACTGGGACAAAACCCTCACAGCTCCAGGCCGTCAGGATTCGGGATTTGAGGTCAGAGGACACAGAAGAACCCAGAACAATGAAACACAAATGTTAAAGTCCACATTTAATGAAGCATAAAAAGGTTAAGCACCAGTCTTGGCATACACAGACATTATATACACACACACATCAGAAACAGTTTACAGTTGCATTTATGATTATTTACAGGACTAAAAGTGGTACCGTCGGATCAGAGTGAAGCAGAAACCCTGGAGGAGTCACGTTTTACCTCTGGTTGAAGGTTTTTGGCTGTTACACACTTACACTGAAATTTAAAATAAAAAACAGAAAAAAATCACAGAGTCATCAGAAACTCAAAATAGAGCAAAGACAGCATGTGACCGCGGAAAAGAAACCTGCTGAGGCTTTTTAAGGCTTTGAGGGAGCTATTTATATCTGGAACGTGTCAGATCCAGAATAGATTAATACAATCAGTTAAAACAGATTCCTGCAAACTCCAACAAAGTCTTCAGCTGGTCACCGTGTATCTCCAAGGCATCCATTTTGTTTCAAATCTAAGAAAACCTTCTGGATGATTCAGCTGAATTTGTATAATTTTACTGAACTGAAAGCAGGAAAATCACCAAAACTCACGTACAGTCACAATAAAAACCTCTAAAAACAACATATGTTTGTCCGTCTAGTTTGCACCCAAACACCTAAATGCTGTGTAAGTAGGTTATAATGGCAACAATGGTGGAAGTGTTCAGAAAGACAAATCAGACTTTGTGTATAAATGTTTCCTAAGCTGCAGCGGATCCACCTGGACCCGCTGTCAGGCAGTACCGTGTGTGTATCCAATATGTACCAAGCAAATATATTAGGTTTTAAATAGATTTCATCAAAAAATAGCAACTTAAATCAGGACTGTCGAATAAAAAGAGAAGCATTTACAGATGTTTGGCGTGCCGTGTCGGTGCGCTACAACAAAGGGCAAAGTTCATGTGACAATAAATACAAAACATGGCTACATACAAACAACAAACGAACAGGGTTACAGCGTCCGTCCTGTCCACTGACAGCCGGTCTCAAAGTGCAGGAAATAAGGAGATTACTGCAGCAAGATGACAACCTAAACCCTCAACCCAACATATAAAGAACCTTCTGGACAACCTTCTGAAGAACCCTCTGGAGATATCTGAGGAACCACCTGAAGAACTTTCCAAACAACTCTCTAAAGAACCTGACTGAAGCCCTACTTCTACCAAAGAACACGGTCCAATAGGGACACTAAAGGCATCAGTTTGCTTCAAACTAAACCCCCTTCCAGGTTCCTACATCATGCCCACTGTGTGCAGTCGACCAACTATTTCTGTCACTGAACAACTGAGGTCAACACCATGAAAGTCTCTAAGGAGAGACTGTCTGAAATTCCGCTCCCCATTTGTACAATACATGGCCTCAAGTTGTTGGAGAGAGATCTGGGAGGCCGCCTGTAACGCCAGGCCTTTCTCTCCGCCTTCAAGTGGGGACCCTCGCAACATGTAGCAACTGCAGACGTGGACGCACTACACGTCGTACCAACTACTTAGTCTGGAGCAGACAGAGACCTTGGTTTCTCCTCTCAGGTCTTACTAACAGCCAGGTTTAAGTTGACTGAGGCACTTGTTGGGGCAGAAAAGAGAAAGGGAAGTAAAGGCAACATGTTCCAATACGAGGGAGTAAATACGACTCTGATTTGACGCACGAGGTGCCCTCCAGCGTCCGTACGAAACGCCTTTTTGAGATGTGGTTAACGCTGTGAAATGGTCGCAGTTTGTTTAGGTTGAGGCACCAAACTTGGATAGGTAACTTCACATGACGCGGATCAGTTCCATTAAAGGCCCGGGCGTCTCGTTCGGACGCTGAAGGTACCTTGTGCGTCAAATAGTCGACGCCCTGGCAATGAGAACAGTCTGGTGAAGGAGCTCAGTTTGATTGGCTTTTGTCCTGAACGCAGAAAGTTGGAGGCTTATTTCATTGGCTGCTTGTAAAGACCAGAAACTTGCCCAGAGATAAAATTTGCTCCATGTTGACAACCACTGAGTTATGTCATTAAAGTGTGCACACTTGTTTACTGTTGGGCAGCCATGTTGATCCTGACCTGGGATTAAAGATAGCAACGTATGAGTTCTCGCCTTCAGATGTTTGGTGGAGTCCATGTGAACAGCCCAGTGCTGTGTATGCAGTGTGGCTTTCTTACAAGCTATTAAACCACTTTTAAGTTGTGTCCTCAAAACCCCACAGGATGGTAAATTTAGATACAGGAAGCTGATAATATGGTTGCTAATCAACATCTGAGCACTGTTACAAGGTTACTGACCACGAAGGTGTACACTTGTTCCCTTTTTGTGTTTGAAGAACCTAAACAGTAGGACAGGATATGATGAAATGGTAAAAAACCCATTTGTTTTCTCGTCGGGGATCAGCCAGGAAAAATGTCACACATGCTTTTACAAAGATGGTTTGGCTTTGCTGTCAGGCTAAAGAGGCTTGGCGTTGGTTTAAATGTTCGTGTAGAAAAGTGTTTTTTCCGCTTCATAAGTGTACCCTGCAGCTTCCGTTCTACTGTCTGCTTTTCCATTAGGTGGTTGGGTTCGGTTCAGGTACACTAGAAGTGCACGGGTAAGGCACCCTCACTGATAGGGCTCTGGTCCGGGCGCGGCCAAGACATTTGCCCGCCTCCCGCTCACACGGTGGTCATGAGTTTGAGAGAACCAGACCTGAACCTGAGGATCTTCTTCTTCAGGTTGTGAGAGGCCTTGATCTTGACGAAGGCCTTCGTCTGAGCTGGAGTCATTTCCTGCCCCGCTGCCCCTAACTGGCTCCACCCCCTGTCCATTCCACCTGTCCCGCCCCCAGCCCCGCCTCCTCCACTCTCCTCAGTATCACTCGTGGTGGTGCTCTCCTCCACATACTCCTCCTCACTGGACTCACTGTCTCCAAAGCAGTTTGTGGTGTAGTTGGACCTCTCGTCCTCACTGGTGTCCACGATGGTGGAGTGAAAGAGCGAGGCACACTCGGCTGAATACTCCGAGTCACTTCCTGCCACGTAGGAATAAGGGCTGCTCAGCTGCCCGTCAGCCGAGAGGCCCAGGTTGGCTGTACAGTGGCTCAACAGCTCCTTCCTCTGACGCCGCTGAGCGCGCCTGAACGCCTCATCGTACGGTACCTCCATGATCGCACGTAACCGGCGGTAATCATTTCGTTTGTACTTTGGCTTGGCGACAACCACGACCTGGTCACGTCCGTGGTGATGGTGGTGGTGATGATGATGGTGGTGGCCATGATGGTGGTGGCTACCACTGCAGTGGGGGTGGTTTCCATGGTGGTGGTGCCTGGACGCACCTGACCGCACACTGCTTAGTGTTGATGTGGCGTGTTTGTCCAGAACTTGGCCTTCTGGGATGGATGCAGGGAGGCGTTTGATTCTGGAGGAGGACACGCCATGCGCGCTGCCACCACCCGCCGCTCTCTTGGAGACTTTAATGTGGATGGAGCCTCCATCTTCCAGTAGTCGAGACTTTTTAGAACTGGACCTGTGGTGGGATTTATCGCCTCTTCTCTCTGACAGAGGCTCATTGTGTTCGGGGGCCCGACTCATCTTCGTCATCGTGCTGGTGGCCTTCACCTTGACGGTCTTGCTGCCACCCTTGCGGGGTTTGACGTTCTGCCGCTGGGCAGGGATGTACTTGGCATTAACCATGTGACTCCCCGCTCCTTCTGCTGCTTCGTCCTGACTCAGGGAGGAAGACCCTAGACTGGCTATCTCCAGCACTGACGCATCCCCCTGATCTGTCTGGCCAGTTTGGAGCGGCTTCGGGCTGCTAGCTGGGAGTGTGTGTACAGTTGGTGGTGATTTGAGGTGCAGTTCCTGGTCTGGAGGGTAACATGGCTGATTGGTCTCTTTGGGGGAAGAGTTAGCTTTGGGACTGTCCAGCTCCCTGAAGTCTTTAGACAGAGCAGCTGTGGACCTTTTTGCGTTCTTTATCAGCAGACTGTTAGTGCCTGTGTTAACGTCCTTGTTAGTGAGAGAAGAGCCATTTTGGATGCCGTTACAAAGAGGAGAGCTGGTCTGGTTTTGTGCCAAATCACTGCTGTTGATCTTGAAGCCATTCTGCATTGTGTCAACACTGCGATCAGGGAAAACATTCTGGGTCTCCTGGTCCTCAGATTTACTTTCCACAGACCACTGCCTCTGAGGAGACGAGGTGGCGGCACCTTCTGCTAAAGCTCCTCCAGCTGGCCAGGTGGGTTTGAGTTCAGACCCCTCAGAGTCCCAAAACCCGGCCCAGACACTTGCCTTACACAGAGACTGGCCTGCCTCAGGATGCTCTTTGACGGGTCGGTGCTGATGCTGGTCCTGGGTCTGCTGGTCCTGACGGGCAGGGCCCTCCGCTGCAGCAGACTGTAGATGTAGTGGTCCAGGCGCTTATGGGAGGGAGTTTGGGAGGAAGAGGGAACCGGCCAAGAGGAGCTCTGAGGTACAAGAGGAGTTGAAAGGGAGGAAGATTCTAGTCTGAGTCCTTCGACACCAGCCTCAGCGCTTTTAAGAAGCCCGTCGTCTCTGCTGTGACCCAACATATGCAGGAAGACGTGGCTCTGGACAGCCACGGCGTGCAGCGGGCTGGGGTAGCGGTAAACGTCGCTGCCGTTTCGGGCCACCAGGTCAACATGGTACTTAGAGGCCAGGTCACAGGAGTCCACCGAGGAGACGGGGTCCAGGGTGGGCGGGTGAGGAGCAGAGAGCGAGCGGCGCACTGTACCAGAGCAAGACGAGTCATCACAAAGTCCTCCAACCAAACCGTCACACTCCAAACAGCCGGCCAGCTCGTCTGAAGGGAGAGAGAGAAAGAATGTCACGTTAGGAAACCGAGCCGAGCAGATTCAGGAGTCTTCGGATGACTTATTCCTGACAGAGACTGTGTACAGGGCTGCTGTAAACCACACTGCTAAACATTTCACAGTTTCAAACATAAACAGGCTAAATGGATCTAAGTTTACTTTGTGTTGCAGTGTTTCCTAATGTAAACAGCTGACAGGAAGTTAACTCTGACCAGAACAGTTTCCTGGCAGTGCAGTTCTGATGAAACGGTCTGTTGAATGTGGTAATGACTGTTTGGATCGGCTGTGGATGGAGCGTACAAGCATTAGTAAGTGGAAAATTCTTTCCTGTGGAGACAGTGTGCTGTAAAATGTTAACTCTTCGTGTTCACCACTGCTCCTGGATATGAAATGAAAAGTATTTTTATGTGAGAACTGAACTGAAAACCCATTCAGAGAGAGCGGGGAGGTGTGGGGGATGGGGGTGTAGTATTACACTGTGGGGGCTGCTCAGGATTACAGGCACCATTTATTCCCTATTTAGTTGAATTTGTTTTTGGCTCACGTTTGCAAATGTCAGCTAAGTGAGCAGTTCAGATCAGTGTGTCAGGGCTACCAGCCGGCCATGAGAGGCTAACAAGGCACAAAGCTAATGTAGCAATAGCAAAGGGAAGCTAACGGTCATCCAGCAGCAGCTAATAATGAAATTCGTTCACGAATATCTTCCTAAGTGTTGTTCTTCAGAAAGTTCCTAAGAAAAGTCTGATTCATGATGTGTTGCAGAACTGTTTGCAGCTGTGATCTAGAATGATGAATCCCTCTGTCTTAATAAATAACAAGCGTGTGCCTGTTTTCCTATTAGCATTAACTACCCGTTAATCCCCTTAAAAGGGCATGAGACGGCAGGGCCGTGTGCACACAGAAACACAGAGAGAGAAATGTCGAAGTTGTGAAGACTTCAGCAGAGCCCTTGACTCCAAAAGGAAGAAAAACTTCAGTAGTCGGAAGTAGACGTGCAGCTGCAAGAAGTAAGCAGCATCATGTTCAGCAGCGTCAGCAGTGGATTTAAAGCAGCAAACAAAACCGATGCATGGAATGGAATTACTCATGAAAATGGGAAAAACACTGACCCCATCTCTGAGACACTTGGAGAAATTAATGAAATTGACTGAACAAAAATAAAGCTGTGCACCGAAACCTGTGTGAATGGCTCATTTATATCTTGAGGTTGATTGTTAATTATAAATAATTGTTTCTTTCTGCAATTGGTATTTCCTTCTGCTATTTCCTGTTGTCCCCACCCCCCATCCGCGTTCTCTTGCAGGTGTTGTCCTCTCTCTGAGCTGTCTGTTAATGTGGTGTTTCTATTTCCCATCCCCATGTCTGGCCCGGTGACAAATTTCAATAAATAATAAAACAGACAAAGGAGTATATTAATACTCTCTTGTTAAAGTAAAATCTGTCTGGCACAACATGGTATCCAGCTCCTCATACTCTATACCAGGCTGCCAAACAAATACACTATAAATAATCACTATTCAGCGCCTTGTGCTCCACTGGGAGCGAAGAGTACTAAACTTAGAACAAAATAAATCACACACTAAAAGAGAGATTATGTATAAAGCCTTCATTTGCAAACTAGCAATTAATTGCTCTCAAACTTGCACAGCAACTCTGTCGTGTATTTATTAAAAAAACAACAACATATAATTCTGTGTAAAAGAATGAAACTAATTGCTTACAAAATTATAAATAAGAGAAATATTTTAATTTAAATTCGAATGGAAGAAAACGGAATAACTTGTTATTTTGCACAAACATGTCAGTTCTCAGCTGTGCATAGATTCTGTTCTCACCTAAGAACAAATAAGAAAACATTGGTGAATGCCAGTGGGTTTTTAAGAACAGCTGGTGAATGAGGCCCAGTGTGAACACCAGGTTCTGTCCCAGAAGTAAAATCACCTTATTGAGAATCACATTGAAATGACACACCAGAGGTAGCCTGCTGGTTTAAGGGGCAACCACAAACTGCAATGTCAATGGCTTTTTTTATGCAAATGAATTATTTTACTTTGTTTGAGTCTTTAGGTTTCAACTCCTAACATCAAATCTGCAGCAGAAGCCGAGCTGATGCCAAACTTCAACCCTTAGTGGGGGGGTGGGGCCCATCCCCAGACACAGTCTTGGACAGGTACTCTGACAGCTCATAGCACAGCTGTAACAAATAAAATTAATGATGTGTCGGAGTACCGAGCACCACCGCCATCATTAACCCTCAGGGTCGTGGGCGTGTTCATGCTTCTTATCAGATGATCCAAGACAGATGTGCAGTGTTACTGCCGACAGAGCCCCAGACTCTGCAGCCGTTCACCATCAGCTGCTTTAAGAAACCTTCCTGCAGAGATGGGAAGCTGTCGGGTTTCAGGACGAGCAGGTCAAAGGTCAAACAGTGAGCGGACCAATCAGAGCAGACTGTGGGGTGACTGATCCTCCTCTCAGCCTCCAAGAGGACGTCCTCAGTGTTACTTCTCTGAGTGTGTTTACACAGCAAAGTGACCAAAAGGAGCAGAGCGACCTCATGTGACATCAAACAGCAGAGGTGAGGAGGAGGAGGAGCAGTTTCCTGTTTGTCCTCCTTCTCTGACCTAATCAACAAATGGACAGATGGGTTCTGTTGGTTCTGTACCTGCAGTCAGGAGGCGTCCGTCAGCATCAGCCATCGAACAGAAACACTCACTGAAGACCGAGTTAGACGAGTTAGAGAGAGAGCCGGACGCCCCGTCACTCAACTCATAGAAACCTGAGAGAGAGACAGGTAGGAAGAGAGAGAGAGACAGGTAGGAAGAGAGACATACATTCAGCAAAGATCTGTCTGTATGCAGACGACACAGTTCTCTACCTCACTGCTTCAGCTGGAGTCTGGATGCTGTATTTGCTATAATACTCATAATTAATCATAAATTAAGTGTTAATTATATTCACTTGTGATTTAGGGATTTCCGGTACCTGAGCTGGGTCGGCTGTCAGTCTCCAGCTGGTCATTTGACTCCTCGGTGTCCAATCGCAGGTCACTAATCTGTCGGTCCAGCTCCTGCAGCTGACTGATGAGACCGGCATCCCTCCTCCTCAGACAGTTCTGGTGGACACACAGAAAGCAGGACTTTATATTTCATATTCCAGAACAAACATTTGACAGTCCAGATCCCAGAGGGGACCTTATACAGAACAATCAGAGAGGGAAACACAAAGCGGATCTTTTTACAGAACAAAAAAGTGTTTGACATGAACAGATGATTTAAAAGCAGCAAAAGAACCAGCAGATCTTCAGACCTCAAAACCTCGGACCTGCTGACAGCCAGTTTACAGCCGAATAACAGAGACCAGATCAGCTTATTCCAGTCTTGGTGTCCAGGAACTGGACTGGGACTAAAGGAGCTGGAGGTGACGCTACTCTGACCCTCATGTGGGAACCCCCAGAATCCAGCAGAATCCAGCAAGCTGACAGCAGCAGTGGTCAGCTTGGAAAACCTCGTTCTGCAGTGAGGTTCCCAAACGTCCTGAGAGCTTTATGTGGGTTTCATGGTACATAGTGAGCCTGATGATGGCTGATCTACAAGTCCAGTCTTTGTTGCCCACAGGTGTGCGTTCTGGTATTGATGGTGTTCCACAGGGATCAGTCCTGGGACCTGCTGGATTCTGGGGGTTCAAGGAAAGGCTAACAAACCAGTGCTAACGGTGCTAACATAAAAAGCAAAGCACATGAAAGACGAAACGCCGACCCCGATAAAGAGTCCGAGAGGTGACAGCTAACATTTTAACATCCCTGAAGCAACAAGACGGATAAGCTAAGCTAAGCTAAGCTGCTGTCAGACCTGAGAAATTTCAGACAGCAGAGCTTCAGCTGAAGCTCAGACCTGACTTCAGAGATTAGTGAATTAGGTTGAGTTGGCTTTAAATTCCTTGTTATCTTTATCTTTTAATAAAAGTAATTTTATGCCCTCAGTGTCAGAAAAAGTATTGAATATGGATATTCTTCAAGGCAGCAGACGACACAGCTGGAGCTGCCAGCTAAAGCTGCAGAGCTGCTGCAGGAAGTTCTGATAATTGGACCTGGACATGATCCCAAACAGACCCGGACCCTCCTCGCACCCCCCCCCCGATTGACCACAAAGTCAGTCTCTCAACATCTGCTTTGAGCTGGAGATGAGTATCTGACACCAAAGGTCAGAGGTCACGGGACCCACAACAGCTGGAGCTAATAATCCTGAAAGCCCACGCTGATGATGATGAAGACGATGTTTCATCAGCTTCATCATCACTCAGAAACTTCATCTCCTGCTGTTCAGCAGATGTTAGAGCAAAAACTCTCTGATCTCAGATCTGCTGCTGATTCAGGTTTTAGTCCTGGTTCCACTTCGTTTCTGTAGAAGCAGCCTGAGAGACAATCAGCGTCACGAGTCAGACGTCAAAGACGAGAGAGCGACGGACTGAAAACCCTGCAGAGAGACCGAACGCTCAGCTGCAGCTCAGGAAGCTCCATGTTTGGAAATCCAGCAGAGAGAGACGTTGACCCAGCCGACCTTCAGGTTATCACAGACTGACATTTCTACTAAAACTGAGGAACCATCAACACAAAAAGACCGACTGAACAGACAATATGTAAATATGTACACAGGATATTTCAACAGAGCTGCATTCAACGATTATTTCTATTGCTGATTCATCAGTTGCTTTTTCCAATAACTGATAAAAGTTTATAAAATTTTAAAAAAGATATTCAGTTTAATGTGATATCAAACACATGATAAATGGAGTTTTAAGATTAATTTGTTGGCAATTCATATTCTGCAGACTGACCAATCAATGAACCAATACTGCCGTCAGCAATCTATCCCAGCAGAACAGTGACCATCGCACAACATGTAAATGATCATGTGACTTTAGTCCTGCACTCAAATTACTTCATTACTTTCAAGGAAAGGCTGAATAAGGTACTTGTACACAGTTTGTGTATTACCTAAAGTAGTTTGGAGAAATACAGAAACGAAGCTGAGCTCAGCAGCTAAACAAGAACCCAGAAGCCAAACGTGAGCGTCATTGTTTCCACCTGTCAGCACGAACATGCCGCCCCGGAGTTTAATACCAGAACGGGGTCAGCAGCGTTTTCACACTTCAGCGTTTCAGTCTGGACGGAAGGAGACGCAGCAGAAGGTCTGAGGTTTAAAAGGAAAAAGTAGTACTGTAGATAGAGACTCAGAGGACAGGTAGAGACAGAGGACAGGTAGAGACTCAGAGGACAGGTAGAGACAGAGGACAGGCAGAGACAGAGGACAGGCAGAGACTCAGAGGACAGGTAGAGACAGAGGACAGGTAGAGACAGAGGACAGGCAGAGACAGAGGACAGGCAGAGACAGAGGACAGGCAGAGACTCAGAGGACAGGCAGAGACTCAGAGGACAGGTAGAGACAGAGAACAGGCAGAAACAGAGAACAGGCAGAAACAGAGGACAGGCAGAGACTCAGAGGACAGGCAGAGACTCAGATGACAGGTAGAGACAGAGGACAGGCAGAGACTCAGAGGACAGGTAGAGACAGAGAACAGGCAGAAACAGAGGACAGGCAGAGACTCAGAGGACAGGCAGAGACTCAGAGGACAGGTAGAGACAGAGAACAGGCAGAAACAGAGGACAGGCAGAGACTCAGAGGACAGGCAGAGACTCAGAGGACAGGCAGAGACTCAGAGGACAGGCAGAAACAGAGGACAGGCAGAAACAGAGGACAGGCAGAGACTCAGAGGACAGGTAGAGACTCAGAGGACAGGCAGAGACAGAGGACAGGCAGAGACTCAGAGGACAGGCAGAGACAGCGCTATCTGTCCTAAATACTAAAGTAATTTCCCAAATATGTCCCAAACTCCATCTGAAGCGGACAGAAACACTCCGACTCACTGCAGAACATTAATCTGCTCATGAACTGAGAACAAACGGGAAGCTCAGACCGAAGCAGAGAAGAAATCTTTGTTCTTGTTGTTTGTATCAAATTACTGATATTATCACATTATTGTTGTTGTTATTTAATAATTGTTCACTGGCAGGAGAATTTGTTATTGCTCTGTCAAAAACTTTTCAAAGTAAGATAGATTTTGTTTTTAGTTTGTTGGTTTTATCTCTTTTTAAAATTTTACTTTATTGTTTATTA